ATATATATATATATAGGAAAAATAGATTATTTATCAATAACATCTTTCATTGATTATTTTGTGTATGTACATATATTATAGTTACCATAAGTATCAATTAGTTTCACATAATAAAAGAATATTACATGGTTACTGGTTAGATTTTCATAATAATGTCAACAGCATATGTCTAACGCACACTAAATACTTAGCGTCTGCCCAACGAGAGAGGAGAAGTCTGCGTTCCGCTGACGTCTGCGTGAGAGAAAGGGAAGCCAGACAAACTGGCGCCGTTACGCCTTAGGTAACGGAGCGGTTTACCCTCCCATAAGAAGTTATCACTTAAAAAAATCCACTTGAAGCAACGAAAAATTAAATTCGATAAAAACTCAAAAAAGAAATTCCATACGCTGTACTCTACCTAACCACACCACCAACCAAAATGAGGAACTCGCGTTCCCTGGGACTTCAGCATGTGTTCTACCTGCACGGTTTGACCAGAGAATCGTCATACCTTAGCCAGCAGATGTGGAAGGCACTGTTTTATCGTGGAATGTGTATGTAGATAGAAATTCGCCCATCCTGTAATAGAATTCACAAACTGGTCGAACCTTCTGGTGTGCTCGAAGGGGCCTGGTCAAAAATAACTTAATCGAAACTGTTGAAGGGTTGAGACGAAACATCTATGATGTCGGTAGATGTCAAATGAGCTTTGAAATGTTAAATATGTCAATGTTGTTGATTGACTTCTGCAACATTCGATGCAGTACAGGAATTCTTCCATATTATTCTAATGGCATTTCGCCATTAGCTATATCTTTCTTCGAAACGGGTAGCCAAGTACGATCCATTTCTTAGTAGCTATTAGAAATACACTTCTCTCCAGATATAAGACTATACGCTGATTCTTTGAGTTAACATTTCTTATAGTGGGAGTCATTGGCAATCATTCCCGTCTTGTTCCAACTTGTTCAACTCGATGTTCACCGTCTGTTAAATGTCTATTTCTGATGCAGTCCCGATGTTCATTCTCTCGCACTTTTAATTGTAATGTAATGTAGAGATTTTATGTAGCATGGAAAAACAATTCAAACTGATAATATTTTAACGAGTCTTAAAGGTAATGTGGCAAAATCGAGGAAATTTTAGGAAATCACACCATCATTTGATGAGAAACCAAGAAAAACTCTCTCCTTCAGGATAAATAGCTTCACGATCTGGAAGTTCAAAACAACTCCAGCGGAATTTCTACCGATGCTAACACAATTAAGAATGAATAACAGAATTTATCATCGCAAATTCGGCGAACACGTCTATAAATCTCCGTTAGCAGAGAAAACGACGACAATTTCCTGAGTCGGGACAACGATATTAAATTAGCTGTTAGTGGAAACAAAAGGCAAAAAACTTAAGGAAATAACAAGGGGAAACCAAAACCACTGAAGAACAAATAGCGAAGTACAACTTTTATGGCCCGGCGCTGATTCACGGTTCTTTACTTGTGAGGAGAGGAAAGGAGAGAAAATAAATGTGTCTGACTAACCAAAGTGCCCATTTGCTGTCATTTCAAAACCTGGCGATACATTCCAATATTTATTTTGTTACAGATACTCAAAATTTGAAGGTTCTTGAGGAACAGAAATATACTAAAAATATATCACCTCTTCAACTGGAGCACCATTATTTGTAGTTTTAATTGATTCAGACGCTTCAACAAAAATATTTTCACTCATTTTCATTTGATTTTTTACTATTCAGAAAGTAACGACTGAACCAACGAAGAACAGTGCATTATTTAACACAATCATTGTCAAATGTCTGGTTAACTTTTTGGGCTGTTTCGGCAGCGGCTCTTTCAGTTTGAATTCGTAGAGAAAACTTGGCAGAAAATCGCTAAACGACATTATATAGTAATAACATGAAAAGAGGTAGAAAATGAAAACTTGGAAAAAATTAACAGTATCAATGAATATAGTCAAAAATTCTCTATCGATCAGTATACAGCGTGACTCACGGTCGATGGTAGGTTAGACGTTTCTGGAAAACGCAAAGCATGATTTTTCTGAATATTTCACCTCTCAAATTTCCTTACCTGTTCTATCGATCTAAAATTAAAAAAAAATTAAAAAAAATTAAAAAAAATAAAGTTGCTAGGACTTTTTCATGGAAGTGGCAATGCCGCAATGCTGAAAATATTTTAGATTGATAGAACAGGTAAGGAAATGTGAGAGGTGAAATTTTCAGAAAAATCATGCTTTGCGTTTTCCAGAAACGTCTAACCTGCCATCGACCGTGAGTCACGCTGTATACTATGACATAGCAGAATAAATATTTATTGAGATATGGAGCTACAAAAACACATTAAAACTTTTGAAACAACCTAATATATTAGGCTTTCAAAGACAAATTTTATCGCGCATTGCAAACGTGCTTGCAATCTCCATGAAATGAAGTCAATACAAATTCCAGAATTCGTATGTAGTGAATATGATAAAAAAGTTCAAGAAATAAACTCATTCGGCACGTATAAGCGAAGCAATTTGCGAGCTTTTGGAATGACAAATCACGGTTGAAATCACCGGAATCAGATACGAACGAAATCTGGAACGGAACAATTAATTACCTTCGAGATTAGCCTGGGATTGATCCACGCCGTTTTGACGTCGTTATCCAGTACCTTGTAGGACGGTTTTGTGATAAGCCTCGGTATGTCGGTTCCAACTGACGAGGGACCATGTTTGTCCTGCTCTTTTGAATTTGATCTGGAACGAGATAAAAGAACATAATGTTATTATCCTGATAGAATCTAGAGGGTTAGTTTTTTGCGGATAGGAAAGAATTTCTGTAGAGGTGACTTGGGGCTGTGCTATATTTTATGAAATGATGCAGATGAAGGGAATACTCTGAGGGAACTATCGATAAAATATTCCGCAGCTTGTTCGGAAATTGAATATAAAACGTTTTTTCGATTTACGAAAACATAACACTATCTATGATGATGATAAAACAATTTCCACACTATGAACTTCATTTAGAATGCTTTTCACTGGGCAGTAGCTGCAAATTATTCAAATATCATAATAAATGTGAAGCTAAACGTCTATAATATACAAATTATCGATTTTAGATTAGATCGAGAGAATGAGTTTACAGGACGTCCCAGAATGTAATTGCCCCAGAATATATCTCATTATTTGACTAATCACTTGAATTATCCATGAATCAATTTAATTATGAATGGACTGACCCGTTACTTGATAATAATAATAATAATAATAATAGCCTTTATTGTCCAACAGTTTCCCATTTACAGGACAATATTAAAGAATAACAAAACATAAAATGGTGTGTATGAGTAAATTAATAATAATATTTAGTAGATTAAACAATAATTAAAATAACACATCAAAAATTAACGAAATATCAATATAACAATGCTGTTTAATTTTTCATCACCGAGATGAGTTCCTTGATGGAACACGAATGAATGTCAATTCGATTGCTAATTTTATTGAATTCACTACACATTATATAAAGTGGAGATTTCAATTGCATATTTGTTCTTATTCTTGGAAGTTTGAAAGTTGCATGATTTCGAGAAAAATATGAAGGAACATTGATATTAATCAGGCTGAGCAGACTGGGAGAGTCAATAAGGCCATTCAAGATTTTATACAAAAATATAACAAATGCACAATTTCTTCTGCACTCCAAGCTGTCAATATTGACCCTCATGCATAATTCCTCATTGTTTGTTCCCCTTTCAGGATATGTACCATCTATTTTGAAGATGAGAAATTTCAAAAAACTTTTTTGAACGCCCTCAATGGCTGCTTTATGACACTCGTAAAAAGGGGACCAGACAATACTAGCATATTCAAGTTTTGATCGTACATTAGAAAAATACAGTACTTTCAATGCTTTGATGTTGATGAAATTTCTACAATTTCTCATTATGAAACCGTATGTCTTCAGTGCTTGGGAGACTTTTAAGGTTGTGTTTTCTATGAAATTCAACTCTTTGTCAAAAATAACACCTAAATCCTTGATTTTGGTACATCGTTCCAGTTGAGTATTCTCAACCTTGTAAGAATAGTGTATTGATGTAATTTTTCTAGTATAACTCAGAACTTTGCATTTTCTAACGTTAAGACATAACTTGTTAATATTGCACCAATTTTGAATATAATCCAGTTGTTTCTGCAGATTTAAGCAGTCATTCGTATCATTCACAATAGAAAAAATCTTCAAATCATCAGCAAAGCACAACCTTTCACATATTAAATTGTTACATAGATAATTCACAAATATTAAAAATAGAAGTGGTCCCAAATTTGATCCTTGAGGAACGCCAGATGATGCTAGGTAAATGTCGGAATTGAATCCGTTATATAAAACATACTGCTTTCTGTTTGATAAATAAGATTCTATAAAATCTCTTGCATTTTCAGTAAAGCCAATTGCACTCAATTTATTTAATAGAATGGTGTGATCCACTCTGTCGAATGCTTTTGCAAAATCTGTATAGATGACATCTACTTGACTATGGTCATCTAGCGCCTCTGCGATATATTGAGTGATAAATATCAGATTTGACACTGTTGAGCGATTATTGACAAATCCATGCTGATTTTGAGATATCATATTTCGGATACAGGAATATATACGATTATACAAAATGATTTCAAAAACTTTTGCAAAGTTACAGAGCAATGAAATACCTCTGTAGTTTTCGATTTTATCTTTATCGCCATTCTTGAATATCGGGCAAACTCTAGCCTCTTTCCACCTTTCAGGAAATGTTCTCGTTTTTAAACATAAATTAAAGATCTTAGTTGAATGAAAATTAATAACATTATCTACGGTAATAATTAAATAATTTTCACAAACATTTTTATTTATAGACGCGGTTTGCTTACACCGAAGCTTCCTTGGTTGGGAAAAATGTCCTTTCTTTTTATCGCTATTCTCATCTTGTGATTTTTCTATCATTCTTTTACTCCTCTCGCTCCAATCGTAATCAATTACCTAATGATAGATCTGGCTAATGATTGAAGATTTATTTTGAAAATCTATTATCGTGACTCACTTCAAAATCGAACAGGATTTTTTTCAAATCGTTTTTCTCACATACATTTCACAGAATGCGGAAAACTTTTGAGTTTTTCCATACGCATATTCACTGAAAACGAACATAAATGATCGACCCTCAATGCCACGAGGGTAGGCTAAAGATCGTAATGATTTATTGCCCTGAGCGTATTCTTACGTGACTTAAATTTTAAATTGTTTTATTGTTTTTCCTTATATTCGGGGGAGCATTATTTGATCTTGAGATATTCTCCCTTTTGATTAATGTGCCTCTAGTATGAAACGGGCATATGGAAGAGAAAATTTCGATGGATTCTAGAGCAACTTCGGACAAGATGACAAATTGGCTTTATAATTGGCTGTTTTGATAATAAATTGTTGTTTTCAATAGTCAGGTTAGGTCGTGTAGGGTCCTCAGAGTACAAGTTAGAACTGTAGATGTAGATTGTTACAACAAAATTTTAGAAAAAATTATACAAAATGTATTATTGTTCTATTGCTACGAAAAGTATAAGCAATTTTGATGATAATATTATGTCTCCGTAGAGAAGTGCATTAGAATAAAATGGCTAAGCAGTGTTAACCGAAATGAATATAGTTTAAAAAAACTAAAAGACACGCTTTCAAAGAACATCGAACTAAAAAGTTGAAAATATTTTTTTTAAATAAGCATAAAACAAAGATCGAAAAATACTAATATTATTGTGAAGAAAGCGTGGGCGCTAGATATACAAAAAATATGCCACAAAGCACCCACGCTTTTTTCACAATAATACTAATATTTTTCGATCTTTATTGTTTTACGCTCATTTGAAAAAAATATTTTCAACTTTTTAGTTCGATGTTCTTTAGAAACGTGTTCTTTAGTTTTTTTAAACCATATTTATTTTCAACTTTTTAGTTCGATGTTCTTTAAAAGCGTGTTTTTCATTTTTTTTATTTTGATTTTCTTTTGAACAACCTATCAAGGAGGTTACGCATTGCGCCATCTGCCCGCGAATAGCTCAAGCAATAATTGCTAGGTTAAGTTGAAAAACAACTTGAGCTGAACTTCGCCTTTCATCATTATTTTTGTTTTTGTATATTATCATGTTGATGAATAAAGCGGATTATTATTATTATTTTTATTATTATTATAGTTACATACAGCGCCATCGGTCAAGCGAATAGATCAAAAAATATCAATGAGGTTACGTATAGCGCCATCTGCCCGCGAATAGATCAAGCGAAGTTGATTCTTACTGTTATTTTCTATCCATTCACTTTTATATTTTTATGCTTTATAGTTTTTATATTCTCATACTTACATTTATGTGTTGCATGAGAATATTCATTACTATTATCATTATTCATTTCAATATGTAGCATATATATTATCACTTTCTGACTACTTATTCACCCCAAAATGCTGAAATCACCAAATGTTCAAATATTACTTTCAATTTCTATAACAGATATTCCTTAAAATAATAACACTTTGACAATAATATTTTATCTTCGTCACTTTGTCAATGAGATTTCATCTTCAACAATGAAGTACATTTTGATTTGATTTGATTGCAATAATTGATAGTTACGTATAGCGCCATCTGTTCGCAAATAGATCAAGCAATAATTGATAGTTACGTACACCATCTGCCCGCGAATAGATCAGGAAATATCATTGAGGTTACGAACAGCGCCATCTGCCCGCGAATACATCAAGCATACATACATACATGTGAAGCTAATATAAAGCGTGTAAGAAAGACACGCATGCATAATACAAAAACTACGGATCAAAGAGAGAACTATCACTAAAAGCATAACGTAAATATTATCGCCTAATCGACAGATTTAAAGTGGATCTTCAGCTTATATTTCAAGTCTCAATTCACTGGATTAGGAATTATACTGTTTGATGCAATTTTAGAAGAAACTAGGAGTGAAACAAGCTGACGAGTGTCTTGGTATGACTGAATTATTTAGATTACGCGTCCTCGAGTTATCCTTTGTTTAAAATTAGATTTAAAATGTCTCTCATATATACAGTTCGTTTCGTTTTATCATGTGGTAACATTGCTTTATTCTAAATTGCAACAGATAGGAAATCGATTAATTGACAACTATCGTTGGGAACAGTACAGTAGTCAAAGAAAATTCAAAGGGGCTTTCACCCTTCTCGAGTTATACATAGAAAACTACAGCTGTTTTTGTTTTTTGCGAATAGAACTGTTATTTCAGATAATATGAAGAAATAAAAAAAGTTTTACTGTATATTCGAAATGTACTATAACGATGTAACAATAAATCTTTAATAAAAAAAACACCCTCACCCTACCTTGAACATTTTTTGTTAAATACGGACCTGTCTCTTTCATTATAAATATTGATAACGCGATAAAATCTCAATACAATGGTATATCACATTCGAAATTTTTATAGCGTTCGATTTAAAATAAGTAGCTTCAGAAACACGATTGATTTTATAAGGATTTTTCGGAAAATGAAGACTATCGGACAAACTACATCAGATGCTTGAATTGACGGCCTTCAGTCAGTTTATTTAAATATTGATAATAATAGTCAGTTCCGTTCCGTATATCTATTGAATATTTTCTTTCTTTCTTTTGAAGATTTTCACTTTCTGTATAACGATCAAAAAGTAGAAAACCAAAGATTTTTTTCGGAA